CAATCTGAGCTAAAGAAAAAACTGAAAATTATTTTATTTTACAAATCCTAGCAATGTATTATTTTCCCTAGTAAATTACTAATAACAACTATCCTACAGTCTTTATTTCCTATACCTAGGTTTGAACCCTACATCTTAATCACTAGACCACTTTGAGAGGTACAGAATCATCTTTTCTTTCATGCATGTGCACATACTTCTTGTGTATATAAGCCTAAGCTTTGTATATTTCCTGTGACATGGAGACACTGAAAACAATACAAAGGCTTAAAATGTTTTTTCAGTCCTGATAAGAATATTTTGTCATAAAAAAAAGGTTGATATTGTTACAAATTCTGTCATAAATAACAAGGCTTTGATTTTTTAGATTGGTGATTAGATTCTGCCTTGGAAATCTCGGTAATGATTTTTTTTTAAAAATAGTAAACACCACAAAAGTATTGTTGCGTCATCGAGATCATGTGATTCTCACGCTCTCTACTATCTAGAATTATCCTGTACTTTGGCGAATGTTCTAGTTCTTACTAGATATAGGGTAGGCGGGTATATAAAAGAGGGGAATGTAATGTGTGTATAGACAGTGAGTAATTGAACTGCAGTCAGAGAGCACGAGAGACGTTCGTTGTTATAGCTTTTGTTTAGCGCGATTGTTGAAGTTGAGTGTATCGGTAAAGTTGTATTCGGAAAGAATAAACCAGTTTTATTAAGTAAAGAACTTGTGTCGCTATAGTTTTGTCGGAACGAAGTTATGGAAAGTTAATTAACAAGTGGAGATGTAACAGTATAGTATATGCCAAGTAGAAGTTTCACAAAATTCTCACATCTTGTGTATTTCTACCACAAAATAAAAAACACTCTAAAGGCTGACAGAAACACTAATGTTCATAATTTAGGAGTTTAGACCAAAAAACAATAGAGAAAATGCAACATATTAGAAAGCCAGTCTGTTTCAATTCTGAATATTTTATCCAAGAGTCAAATTATGTGTATGTTTAAATCTCTTGTGTAAATAATATTTCCATATTAAGGATAAATTTATCTACATTGGCAATGTGGATGAAGATGCAGACTATACCATTACGTAAAAAAAAAAATCAAGACATTCTTATTAGAATTATGTTATCCAAAGCTGTTTATTTAGAACTATATTTATTATTAAATGTATTAAAATTCTGTTAAGTAGTAAAAATGTTTAACTTTCTTCATTCAGACTGGCCTTTAAGTGAGGTATCAGAAGACCTTTCGTTATCCAAAGCTTTTCATTCCAAACAAGATGCAACATTTGAAAAATAATGTAGAATCCCCCCCCTCCAACTTCAAATCATTCTACTCGCAGCTGTGATTTGTAATTCATTAAAATAGACTTATTTGTTCTGAGAACAAGTTGTTTATATGAATTCTATTTTGAATTTCAACAAAAATAAAAGACAGAATAGGTTTGCTGTTAAGAACAAAGCTACACAACGGGCTATCTATGCACTGCCCAAAGAGGGTATTAAAACTGGTTTCTAGCTTTAAAAGCCTTCAGACATACCACTGAGCCACAAGGAATAGGGAAATATGGTAAAATATAACTCAAACAATGATTTATACTCTTTTGTTCATTAGATTATGATTTTATTTTTTCAGTATTATACATTACATAATTAAAAACAAGCAGTGATAATAATTATACATTATCAGGATAGAAAAACTTTTTAACAAGACGTTCATTTAATTACAGGGGATTAATGAATTATAATATCAAATGGAGGTAGACATTCAAATATTATTTATGGATATATAATACAATACTGTACACACACCACAAATATATATACACACACACACATATATATATATATATATACACAAGTACAGAAAACAACAGAATGGAATTAAACACTCAAATAAAGTATATTTATTCTGGATTATGAATTTAGTAATACATTCATTACTGTTGTAAGTCCCTTATCCCCAATAAGCAATTTAAAGATCTGTTGTCTTTTATTCATAAACAAAGTACCCATATTGTTAGGTCTTTTAATAAATTTATTCAGCACAAATGTAGTTTAAGTCCAGGTTTCTTATAACAAAGACCTGCAAGTTCTATATAGAGAAAGATGGGGGTAAGATAGCCTCTTTAACTTTGAATGTGGGTTTCTCCAATTATGTCATGAAAAAGCAAAATATTTTAAAATGATCCTTGTTTTATTATAAATGCCATTTTTAGTTAAAACAAAGACTGAACTTTGATGTTTTTTAGATACTAAAAAAAATTCTTGTAGTTGTGGGCCATTTTACCAGTAATGTTATATAAAATCAACTCCTTAGTTGGGATAAAATAGACCCACTTAAATAAAAATTTTAAATAAATACTATACATAAATACTCTTGGCAAGGATCAGGAAAGCCATGCACCATACATAAGTTGCACATTACTCCTATCGATACAGGTCACGGGTCAATGGCCATTTCATCAAGTTTGTTGACTCGCATTCAAAATTTTATGAATATATGTCAACAAGTTTGGTATCATCTTGTAGATTATAATTCAAATTTTAGTATTATTCATTAGTTAATTTCTTAATTTTAAAGTTAATATTAAAAATAAATGTTAAATATCAATTTTTGTGTGTGATGTGGTATGGTGAATGCAGCATTGGTTCAAATTAGATGTTTGTGATGTCCAAATACAAAGTCAATAGTTTCTTACAAATTAGGAACTCAAATTACCAATATTAACAAGCTAGAATCTAAAATAAGAACCTCCTATCTTTTCAATTTGCTGAGATACAACTACATTTACTAAATCAAACACAGTGGCCCCACCCACCTCTTTTCATTTTTGGAAACGCTTACATACACCTACTTCTGTCTATGACGTGTGAATAACCAATTAAAAGTTCAGAATGTCCCCTAGTGGCTTTCCTAGCCTTTTTGAAATATTCAGGCAGCAAATTCTTTTTTTTTATGCTAGATTTCAAGTGGTAAGGTAAAACTTTAGTTAGCTCAAAATTTCATAATTTTTAGAACCAAAGTTATAATTTTCTTAAATGAAAATGTACTTCTGATAGTTACTTACCTCCTGTCACAAGATTAGCTTTTCTCGTTTTGTGCTTCCCTGTGTAAGCAAAATTTTTCATAAATACATGCCACAAGCCTTCATCATCCCTCTGTTGGAATCCAAAGTTCCAACACATCTCTTGTGCAAATCATCATGTGTCACCTCTCCACCAAAAGGAGAGCACTACTATCACATGATGCATGTGACTACCCCTACTGCGCCATCACTTCGAAGTTTGACAGAAGATGTGAGCACCAGAAGATTGTGGGGAGGATGGGTGGGAAGTGTGAGAGGAGGGAGTACCCATCGGAAATACATTTTCATTTAGGAAAAATATAAATTCCAATATGGTACTCTCCCTCCACTCACAAAATTAGCTTGAATCTGACATTGAAATGGAGAAGAGACTGGTGTGAGGGAAGCAAAGGCATATCCCCCAGAAGCATCTGGAGGATACCCCTGAAATGAGAGGAACAGATCAGATGATCTGAGGAGGGGCACTGCACCACATCTGAGCCAGGTATCTCTTCCCCAGGAGCATCGACATGATCAAGAGGACCAGACCTGGCGGAACATGAAAGGAGCACATCTGCGTGGGAGAGGATAGAGAGGAATTCATAAGCAGGAAAAAGCATAAAAATATTAACTCCACAATTGTGAAGTGTTGTAAATAAAGTTAAGAAAAATATAAAAAATAAACCACTTCAGGGTAACTGAAAAATGTAAGAAACAACATCTCAACTCAACAGCTGCCAAATGAGAAGTGATAATTCAGTAGTGGGGCATAGAGGGAGTCACATGCATCACGTGATAGTAGTGCTCTGCTATTGGTGGAGAGGTGATGCATAATGATTTGCATGAGAGACTTGTTGAAACTTTGGATTCCAACAGAGGGATGATGAAACTTGTGGCATGCATTTCTGAAAAACGTTTGCATATAAAGGGCAGTACAAAACAAGAAAAGCTGATCTTGTGAGGGGAGGGAGAGTACCTTATCGGAATACAGCAAAGTTACTATGCTTGATAAATTATAGAAGAATTCTATTGTATTTATATAGTATGATTTTTGGTTGTTTCAACATGTATGTATAAAACCTAAAAAAAGTATTTCATTTCACATGTGCAAAATTTAATAAGGCTCAGCTACTTACATCAAGCAGCAAACAAGTACAAACTTTATAAGTAGAAGAGATAATTGTTTGTTATACTTATTTATTTACTGTTCTATGTTTTAAGAAAAATAACTGAAATTTAAGAACTTAATTGTAAACAGCAAAAATGTATTATAACTGAAATGTGACTACATTTTACAAAATACTGGTCCACTAGAACACATCCAAGAAGGGTCATCTTGTAAAGGTCAGTTTTATATTCTTGTATATGGTAACATGAGTGTACATTCACCATGTCATTGCAACTTATGTAATGTTATTCAGGCATGGCTGAAAGGTCAATATAATAAAAATAATAAATATATATATATATATATATATAAATGTATAATGTTATGAGATTTAAGCTATTTAGACTAAACAATCGTGTTTTCATGTTATAATTTGTAGTCATTTTAGAATGAAAAAATCATAATTTATGATGGTTACGAGGTCGATTAAATCGACCAAACCCGTACAGAGATTTGACAGTGACAATAATGGATAAAATATAAAGTTTTATCTTTAAAAACGTTTGATAATTAGCTGGAGATTATAAAGATTTCACATGTGAAATTGAAAATTTCTGATGCATAAATGTACTTTTAATATTAAAATCAAAATTACTTTGTATATTGGATATTTAACATTTGAAAAGACAAAAGGAATAAAAAAAAAAAACATTACCTAAAAAATATTAAAATTTAATAAAGAAATCTGATATTTTGTGTATGATAGCCTTGTAATATTTACTAATAATCTGCAAAATTTTGTGAAGGTATGCTTACTAATTTCAAAGTTATAGCATAAAAACTATAACAAGCACAAAATGGTTACGAGGTCGGTCTGTGGAACCAAGCCCATGCTGAAAGAGTTATTTAGAACAATGGTGTGAACTCATCATGCTTTATGACCCATCTCCATCCATTGAGTTTTGTAATATTGGAGCAGATGGTGAATACATAAAATTTTCTTTCTCAATCACTGCTTTCCATGCTTGTTTTTTTTTGGTCAGTAAAGGCCAGTTCTGGCAGATATCACAAATGAAGTCCTCATCATCACTGTCAACACCTGCACATTCTTCATGAGACCATTCTTTGCAATGACTACATTGGATCCACCCATCATATGGTGTTTTACTGTAAGTTTCTCCACAAAATAAGCAGGCTGTGTCATTGTCATCATTTAATGTTTCACTAGATGTTTCATTTGTTTTTGAGCTTCGCTTTACCATCCTCTTTCCTCTTTTTTCCTTCTGCTGTTCTCTACTTTTCTTTCTTTCTTTTGTTAGTTCCTTCTTCCTTTCTTTTTCAGAAGATGATTGAGATACTTCTGCATCTGTTTCAATGAGCATCTTCTTATAGGAATAGGATGTTAATAGCTGTGCACTGCTGCTCTTAAGTTTCCTCTTCCTTCTGTGCTTGATAACTGGAAGCACTTTTGAAGATGGTGTTATAACAACTGGGGAAACATATGCATATGATGTACTGGCAATGGCATTGTCACAAATATTCTCTCTTCCAGTTTTAACCAATGAAAATTTCTTCCATCCAAAGGTGTTTTGTCCTGAAGGAGGTTGTGAAGTTGGGAAGGTGACAGGTTGTGAAACCTGCACCTCGCGAGGCTCAGGAAAGGGCCTTTCAGTGAGGTTTGCTGGAGCAAACTCATGATCTTCAAATAAGTTTCTTGCAACTGGATATATACCAGTTTTGAAAAACCCATTGACAGCATTAAATGCTATTGCTGCCTTGAGGTAGGCTCGGTTGAACAGTTCTGCTACCTGAAATACTGTCACATTCCTTCCTGGATGATGCCTCAGCCATGACTCAACTTCTAGAGTATAATATGAAGTCAGTGGCTTCATGAAGGACACATTAAGAGGCTGCAATCTATGTGAACAATGTGTAGGGAGACACAACAAAAAGACTCCATTATCTTTAGCAAGATTTACAACATCTAGGTTTATTGTATACGTGGAATGTCCATCAAGTATGAGCAAAACTTTATTTTCTTTTGATGCTTCTGACACTCTTAGAAAGTGATTAAACCACTGAGTGAATATTGGAAGCTGGATCCTGCCACTTTTATGGCAGGCATAGAGTGATCCTCTTGGTGCCCCATTCATAAGTTCTGGATCCATTGATGTCCATGGAAAGACAAAAAGTGGTGGAACAAATGACCCTGTGGCACTCATACATATTTCAACAGTTACTAACTGTCCATATTCTGCTGATTTCAAAGCTCTTACTTGACGATGATTCTTCAATTCAATAATTTTTGATGGTTTGCTTTGTGCAATTGACAAACCAGTTTCATCAACACTGTAAATGTTATTTGGAGAAAACTTGTGCTCATCAAACAGTTGTTCCAAAATATTGAAAAACTTGCTCACAACTTGTCTATCAAATCCTCTTGCACGTGCTGCTGATATAGCATCAGGTGTTCTCACTGACAATTCAGGATTGCGTGATAGGAAACCTCGCAGCCACTCTTTTCCAGCCTTTTCATTTCTAAACCGATGTGACAGTCCAGTGCGCTCAGCTTGTTGGTAAGCTAACCGGCGGACCTCATCACCACCAATCCCAAACATCATCTCTTCCATCATATGTATGTAATGCACAAGGTCATGTTCCATTGCTGGAGAAAATGTTGTCTGAAAGTAAATAAAATTATAAATGTCTGAGCTAGTAGTTAAGAATGTGGTTCTAGTAAGCCTAATACAAATCACTGAGTGGATCTGAAACTTAAAAGCCTTGGTAAAGTCTTCCATTGACTTACCTGGAAACGGCCCAGTGCTTTACTAGATCCCTTGGCTTGTTTATTTTGGTCCTTGTATCTCCGCTTTAATGTTGACCTGGGAATTCCAAAAACTTTTGCTGCTTTTTTGAAGCCCATTTCACCTTTAGTTAATGTCTCTAATGCCCTTTCCATGGATACACTGTCCCATGAGTTTCTTTTTGATATTCGCTGGTACGTTCGTGGCTTTCTCTGAAAAAACAAACAAAAAAAACACTATTCTAATTATGTAAATAAAAAAAATTATTAAACAAGTAATCAGTGTTACAGGTACTTTCCCTTGAAAATTAAATGTGAAGAAAAAAGTTACATGCTATACGGTAGACCTACTGATGGTCTTACTATAAGCTACACAAAGTAAAGCATGCAAGCATTATAAAAAATCAGTGAACTTGAACTGTTTCTATTACAACATATTTAGCTGTCTATAATTCCTCATTCATTGAAATTATTAAAGTTAAATTCACTAAAATATCTACTTTGTAACCATATAAATTCAAAATTCTTATCCGAGATTTTAAAAAATGTAGTTGCCCTTTTATCATTTCCATTTGCACGCATCCACCAGTGTGTTTATGAATGGAGTCACGAACAATATTATATGATTCACTTTAGATGGTAGAACATAATAAATGATACTCTGGTCTGGCCATTTTATCAAAGGGACCCAACTAACCCCACTTTCCCCTATGGTGTTTTGGTTGTCTTTTGCTTGGCAATAATGAACCCCTAGTTCTTAAATATATAGTGCTTATAAAATTCACTCAGCTAAATTAATAAAAAACATGAATCATTAAATGTCACCCAGAAAAATGAAATAGTGGCTCATTAATGGCAAGTACAAGTCAACCCAAACACCACACACATACACACCACTCAAATGTACTATTCTTGTTTACTGTGAATAATCCAACAGTGTTTGACAGATATACTGTGTATCATAGACAATCCAGCTGTAGTTTATTCCCATGTGCATTCCTTGTAAACATTTCTCGCAAATTATATTGGTAGCTTAACTCAAGGGAATTCTAACATTATGTGACAGGCATGGCCATCAAGAACATTCTCTAGAGATCAAGAAGCAACTTGCTCATACATAAAGAAGCAAGTTAGGTTACACTTATTTAGTTGGTTATTTTGCTGGTAAATTAAGTTACTCTACATCTTGCTAATTATTTTTCTGATTCTTGTCTTAATTTCTTTTTCTTATGCCTCATCATTTAATGTTCTGTCTCACTCTCTGCTTTTTCTTCTTTCCAGTGTTTTATTGCTAGGCCTAAGTTCACAGTAAACACTAATACAACAATTTCTCTTCCTTGATAATATCTTATACTCTACACAATATATGGTGAATCCATTATTAATACATTTAAACCACAAGTTTAATATTTCAAAGCTAAGATAACTAAATGACTAACAAACTAACAGATTCAATATAACAAATTTGATGTTAATCTACTTTTAAAATTTTGGAGAAAATTCTGGAAATTGGTAACACTCTCTCATTATATGTTGTCAAAACTCTGTCTCACCAAACACTACAACAAAATTCTAGAAACTAGTAGAGTAAAAATAGTCCTCACCGGGTGACAACAAGAGATGCAAATACTACTATAAATGTATGAATAAACTTTTTTCACTCATATGCATCAATGATTTTTTCTTAGAAGCAGATACAGCTGTTTAATCAAACTATTGATCATGGTTTCAACATTATTGCTTAATCCTCTTACCCCGGGCATCCTTTACTGAGCATATCACATTAATAGCTGTCCAAAAATATTACTGATTTCTCATCGGACATTAGTGGTTTTATGAAAATATTATCTTACTTCAATGGTTCAACAATTCAGTGCCTGACAAAGCTTGCTAGTTTCCCGATAGTTATATGTACAACTCTACCACTCGCTGGATATCAAGGAGACTCTGAACTAGGAAGACGATTTTAGGTTATTTGTAAGTTAGTGAAATTTCTGTTTATGAAACTTGGTTTATAATAATTAATCATAATAGTTGCTATTGTAAATTATACTGTTGTATATATACATTAAAACGTATTTGTGTCAAAAACAAAAACATTGTGAATCAATCTTGTTGGCAAATAGTGTAAATTAAATAAAATATCAACATATTTCTAAACACTAAATCCAGGGTACAGTTCAACTATTAAAAGTTAAATTATTTAACGAGGCTTTGGATTATTTCAAATTCTCAATACGTAACAATAGTATATAAGTTTTAAGTTCTTAATTTTATAAGGCATTTTAAAAAAATCCTGAATTTCCCCTAGTATAAGAAATGTGATATTTTTCTCTCCAGGCACACCATCTTCTCAAATATATTTACCACCTCTCCAATAAGTAAATTACTCATTACAGTATCATTATCACTCAGACAATGCATACATTTCATAGTCTTCAATTTTGTTTGGTTACAAAGCCATCAAATAGAAAATCAGAAATCTCTTACAACACCCACCTGTCACATCCTCACTTTCAGGATTTATTAATAGTTCTCTCTTACATTTAATACTATATTATTTATAACTGATAGAAAGCCAAAGTTTTCATCTATCAAATGACATATTATATTATATTGTTTTCTGTACAAAGAATTGTCAGTTTCTCTTTCAATACAAGCTTCCTTCCCATGGGAAACATACTGACTAACATGGTTAAATTTGTAATGGCTCTTGGCACATAGTTAGAAAGCCAGAAAAATTGTGATAGTTATGGAACATTGTCTGCTTTTTGTATGTTATTATTCTATGTTCTTTGGTGCATTATTTAATAAAATAAAAATTTAGTGTACAACTACCATTAATATAAAAAAGTAGGGTTAAGTGTCATCTACACTCAACAGCAAAAAAAAAAAGCTCAGGTAAGTACCTTATCTCCTTCAGCACAGCTCGGTCCCTGAACCTCGTAACCATTTTCTGTTTGTTACAGTTTTCATGCTATAACTTTTAAATTAGTAAGCATATGTTTATGAAATTTGGCAAATTATCAGCAAACATTACAATGCTTTCATACACAAAATAAAAAATTTTTTTATTAAGTCTTCAGGTTTGTAAAGCAATGTTTTTCTGATGCTTTTTGTTTTTTCTTTTCACATGTTGCCTGTCCAACATGCAAAGTAATTTTCGTTTTAAAATTAAAAATACTTTTATTCATCTGAAAATTTTCCAATTTCAAATACAAAATCTCTGTAATATCCAGATAGTTATCAAATGTTTCTTAAGAAAAACTTTATATTTTATCTGTTATCTTCACTAATGAACCTCTGTACAGGTTCTATAGATTTGACCAATTTTTTAACCACCATAAAAAATTAGGAAATAAATATAAATTATGCCTCTTTCATTCTAAAGTGACAACAAATTATAACACGAAAACATAAATATTTAGATTAAATAGCTTAAATCTCATAACATTGTACATTTATATATATTTATTATTTTTATTATATTGACCTTTCAGCCATGGGTGGCTAAAAATAAAGAAGTTACAATGATGTGGCACACGTGAAGCTTTGTTACCATATCCAATAATATAAAACTGACCTTTAGTCTTTTCTAAGTGATCTGTTTTGGCTGTGTTTTAGAGGTACT